GAAAAGTGCAAGATAATTTTGAAAAGTTTAAGACTTCTGAAAGAATGCCATTTATCATCTTTAGTTTTGATTTATTATATTTTTAAATCTCAAAGTATTTTAAAGATGAAATACAGTAGAGCATCGATTATCCGACCTCCGATTAACTGTCACATTGGTTAACCGACCGTTCTAGTCCGCAAATTTCAAATGTCCGCTAATGATGTGATACTACAACATTTGGCTATGTCTTGGCTACTTTAATATTATTTTTATTAAATTTTTGCATGTTTTAGCTGGCAATACGGGCTCGACCATTGAAAGGAGGCCAGTATTTAAACGAGACTTAATTTTCTAATTATGAGTGGTTGTTTGTTTTGTGAGCAATAAAATAATTTTAAAATAATTTTTAACGATACAATAGCAACGATTATTATTTTTTTTAAAAAATATGTTNTTCGCGCCTAGCCAATGAGCTGCCTACATGGCTTTCCGAATTTAACTTCTAAATACAGGATAGTTTCTCATAAAAGTCCTTCTGGAGGGTATCTCCCCTTGTCAGATTGCTCGTGTGTTGCATTATGATATCCCATCAAACCAATCAATCAAACCTCTTTGTGTCTATAGAATAGGAAGATTTTCGTTTAAAACTATATAATAAATGTTAATACATTGCAACATAAACTTATAATAATATATATAAATAAATAAAAATATTTTAACATTATTTAACTAGTTGCAGCAGATTATTTTGAATATTTTATTTAAATATAATGTTACGCAAATTTTCCAAGTTTCAAATCTAGTAAATTTGTTTTTCTCTTAAAATATTTCAATTGGTTTTGTGTCATTTTCAGAGTTTTTTGTTGCTTTATGACGTCTATTATAGTTATAGGTTTATAACTAGAAACCATATTCTTTATATAATCATATTCTTTTTGATAAGCTTCAATTTCTTTTTCTTGTTGAGTAATATTTTCAGATATTCTTTCATTAATAGTCGTCTTCCATTTGATAGTATCTGAAATAATCTCGAGTCTACATTCGATTTCTTCTATTTCATTTCGCAGTTTTTCTAATAAATGTTTGGCATTTTTCATTTTATTTCTGAATATTTGTAGTATTTCTTGTTGATTTCGGATTATAGATGTCTGATGTTTAGCTTGGCATTTAAATTTCACAGCATCTTCCCTTTTGTAATTTTCTCCTATCAGAGAATCCACGTATTCGATTTTTAACAAAATTTTCTTTTGTGCCACAGTGCAAATATTTGTGTTCATTTTGATATTTTGCAACATATTGAGATGATTTTTTATTATTTGTTTGAATAAATGTTCGATAAATTCTGCTTTATATACAGCAAGCGCTTTGTTATAAGCTTTGTTTTTAATGTAAAATTCAAAATAACGTTTTCTTTTTTCTACTTCTTTATATCTCTCCTCCAGTTCTTCAAGTTCCATGTGAATATCCCACAAAGTAGATTCGTGTTGTTCAGCTCTGTTTTTGATTTCATCATTCTTCAACTTCATTTCAGTTTTAAGTATGTAATATTTTTGTTTCATAACAAGTGCTTCGGAAGAGCGATCATGGAAACTACTAGTTTCAGCATCAGGCGGTTTAAGAAGACTCATATCAAAATAAGTGTTACGTCTCTTTAACATAATAGATGAAGGTCTAGATTTTCGAATAGACTTTCGTTCTTCTTTCAGATCATCTTTTCCAATGCGATGAAGATGAATTTCCAACAATATGTTTTCTCGTGTCAAGAATTCATTACGGGACACTTTCGTTTCGATTAAATCAGTAATTTCACAGTTACTTAACTCGCTTATTCTTGTTTCTTCTAAACTACTTGTAGTATGTGTATCCGAACGAGACGATATCGTACCAAATTTAGAAATTTTGCTTGTCAACGTTTCTAAATTTTCCATTTTCAATATTATTGCAAAGTCTACTATTGTTTTAAAAATGCAATCTTTTGACGATTGTTATACGCCTACTATTAGCTATCGAATAAATATTAAATAGCAAAAATCAACAAACAATTATGTACAGATTTGTACGTATGTACAACAATTATGTTTTCTGAAGTTACAAAAATGAACTATAATCGTGAACAATTATATTAGTTTTAAAATTTGTAAAAATTAAATATTTATATATTAGACCTACTGTCTTAATTTGCTTATGAATTGTTATATATATTTATATGTATATATTATAATATAAATGAGAAATGAAAAAATATGTATAAATTGCAAGTAAGGATGATTCAAACAGTACAGTTTAGTAAAGGAATACAATTTACAGACAAATCCAGACGGGTCGAAAAATCCCAGGAATTTTTCGGGGATGATCCGTCCGGATATGTCGGATCCCGTCCCTCACCACCCGGTCACACCATTGTGGGCCTGACCGAACCCATAATGGGCTTGCTAAAAGAGATCCTCTTAGTGCCCATAGGGCAGAAAGAGTTTTAAAAAACTACCCTGAAAAATCCTATTTTGAAATCTCAGGAATCATAATTGATCGTCTGGGCTAGATATGATGGACCTTTATCTCACCATCCGATCGCCTGATTGTGAGTCTAGCCGAAACATAACGGATATGAATAAAAATTCTCTTTATATAAAAATATTTGTAAAATTTAACAATGGAATCGGTTATTTGATAAGTTAAAAGGTTATATTTTTAAAGACTTCTCAAAATAACAAGGAGAAATTATTCTTCTGTCTTTACCGGTTTACGAGAATTGTTTTAAACTAAATATTCTTTAAAAGATGGGATTTTAATAGACTAAAACTTTCCTCTAAAATGAACCAATTTGTTTTATTTATTAAATTACGGCAATGCAACGCTTGGGCGATCTGCCTAAGGGAGGATGCGACCGAACTGCCAATGTTTAGGGAACGGAACCGCTTGGCTACTGGTGGACTCTAAAAGGAACCAGCTTTATTAGTTTAATATTACCTCAAAATGCATTTCGCCCTGACTATAACAGAGCCTCTTCAGTGGTTATAACATCACAATCCATAGCAATGTTCGCTTCACAAACATCAAAATTTTTATCTTCTTTAAGTTGCCTCCCAGTGACCGAATGGGTAAAACCATAAACACTGATGGTTGGTCTCAGATTCGCGCCTAGCCAATGAGCTGCCTACATGGCTTTCCGAATTTAACTTCTAAATACAGGATAGTTTCTCATAAAAGTCCTTCTGGAGGGTATCTCCCCTTGTCAGATTGCTCGTGTGTTGCATTATGATATCCCATCAAACCAATCAATCAAACCTCTTTGTGTCTATAGAATAGGAAGATTTTCGTTTAAAACTATATAATAAATGTTAATACATTGCAACATAAACTTATAATAATATATATAAATAAATAAAAATATTTTAACATTATTTAACTAGTTGCAGCAGATTATTTTGAATATTTTATTTAAATATAATGTTACGCAAATTTTCCAAGTTTCAAATCTAGTAAATTTGTTTTTCTCTTAAAATATTTCAATTGGTTTTGTGTCATTTTCAGAGTTTTTTGTTGCTTTATGACGTCTATTATAGTTATAGGTTTATAACTAGAAACCATATTCTTTATATAATCATATTCTTTTTGATAAGCTTCAATTTCTTTTTCTTGTTGAGTAATATTTTCAGATATTCTTTCATTAATAGTCGTCTTCCATTTGATAGTATCTGAAATAATCTCGAGTCTACATTCGATTTCTTCTATTTCATTTCGCAGTTTTTCTAATAAATGTTTGGCATTTTTCATTTTATTTCTGAATATTTGTAGTATTTCTTGTTGATTTCGGATTATAGATGTCTGATGTTTAGCTTGGCATTTAAATTTCACAGCATCTTCCCTTTTGTAATTTTCTCCTATCAGAGAATCCACGTATTCGATTTTTAACAAAATTTTCTTTTGTGCCACAGTGCAAATATTTGTGTTCATTTTGATATTTTGCAACATATTGAGATGATTTTTTATTATTTGTTTGAATAAATGTTCGATAAATTCTGCTTTATATACAGCAAGCGCTTTGTTATAAGCTTTGTTTTTAATGTAAAATTCAAAATAACGTTTTCTTTTTTCTACTTCTTTATATCTCTCCTCCAGTTCTTCAAGTTCCATGTGAATATCCCACAAAGTAGATTCGTGTTGTTCAGCTCTGTTTTTGATTTCATCATTCTTCAACTTCATTTCAGTTTTAAGTATGTAATATTTTTGTTTCATAACAAGTGCTTCGGAAGAGCGATCATGGAAACTACTAGTTTCAGCATCAGGCGGTTTAAGAAGACTCATATCAAAATAAGTGTTACGTCTCTTTAACATAATAGATGAAGGTCTAGATTTTCGAATAGACTTTCGTTCTTCTTTCAGATCATCTTTTCCAATGCGATGAAGATGAATTTCCAACAATATGTTTTCTCGTGTCAAGAATTCATTACGGGACACTTTCGTTTCGATTAAATCAGTAATTTCACAGTTACTTAACTCGCTTATTCTTGTTTCTTCTAAACTACTTGTAGTATGTGTATCCGAACGAGACGATATCGTACCAAATTTAGAAATTTTGCTTGTCAACGTTTCTAAATTTTCCATTTTCAATATTATTGCAAAGTCTACTATTGTTTTAAAAATGCAATCTTTTGACGATTGTTATACGCCTACTATTAGCTATCGAATAAATATTAAATAGCAAAAATCAACAAACAATTATGTACAGATTTGTACGTATGTACAACAATTATGTTTTCTGAAGTTACAAAAATGAACTATAATCGTGAACAATTATATTAGTTTTAAAATTTGTAAAAATTAAATATTTATATATTAGACCTACTGTCTTAATTTGCTTATGAATTGTTATATATATTTATATGTATATATTATAATATAAATGAGAAATGAAAAAATATGTATAAATTGCAAGTAAGGATGATTCAAACTTATTGTAGAAAAGTCTATACTATATTAAATTTCATCATAAAGTTATAGTAAATCGTAAATAATTCAACAATTTTTTTACAAAGTAAACTTCAAAACAAAAGTTTTATAATTAATTTCTTAAATAAAATTTGAAAAGTATCTTAAATTTTTAATAAGAATTAATTTTTTTTATTGCTTATTTCATTTAAAAACATCCATTATCAGAGTTCTTAAGACTAAATATAAGTTATTTCGTTTTAGATATTTTCTGTCACAATATCTTAAAATTTGAACTAACATATAATATAAATATTTATAGTTGAATTTTCAATTCTAATTTTAAAGAAAAACAATTCTTTTTTTTTAATGCAATTATTTGAATAATTAATTTTATTGCAACAATTTTATGATTAATATTGGTTTATCAAGATACATTATCTACAATCATGACAATTTTTCTAACAAATAATTATAATTTCTATAAAAAATTAAATATGCTTGATATGAAGATTAAATATCTAATGAACTAAAATGTTTCCAAACTTCATTAATTACTTTTATAATAAATTTATTTTTAAATAACTCCTATTCAAGTTTAATCAGATTATTTTAAACTTTTAATAACAATCTGCCTTTTATGTTAAGGAATAATTTCAAAATGTAAGAAACATACAGCAAAAACGTTATACTATACATCAAGTTTAAAACTTTCAGCTGATACAGCTGTATNCAAGTTTAATCAGATTATTTTAAACTTTTAATAACAATCTGCCTTTTATGTTAAGGAATAATTTCAAAATGTAAGAAACATACAGCAAAAACGTTATACTATACATCAAGTTTAAAACTTTCAGCTGATACAGCTGTATACTCTTTAACTGCAGATTATTATGAAAGACAGTAAAATAAAAACCCATAATATTTATATAGTTCCATAGCTTTACATCACACCTATAAAATACATATATAATTTAATAATACAAGTAACAATAATAAAAATTATATTGTACTACATATAGTATTAAATACTACTTACAGTAATGTATATATATATATATAAAATGTATATATGTAGTAAGTGTAATTTACAGCATATGTACTGTAGAAAAAAAGAGTATTGTTGGAAATACATCATTTCATTTAGTTAAAAAAAAATAATAAAATGCAATACTTCAAGAAAAAATATTTTAAATCATAGAATGAATTTAAGTTTTTCTTCCTACAGTTTAAATATATACATTGCATTTAATTGGATTATTATTTTGTACAATTTCATTTTTGTTTTAGCATGAAAAAAGTTTAATTTTGTATAAAAATGTTAGTTCATTTATTACAACTTAATTATATCCAAATTTCTAAGAACTGATG